AGGTGTGGCACGCATCGTCGTTGCTGTGCAAATAATCGAATTTACAAACACTATGCGGGAAACGAATGAAATTCTCATAATATGTTTGTGTGCGTGTGTGTGTGCGCACGGATAAATACACAGCTTTGATTAAAGTGCAACGGCATACAATGAATGGTGGAGCGCATCAGCGGCTGGTTGGCGGTGTAATGAAATATATGTGTCTTTGTAATAAAAAAAGTTGTTGTTGTTTACTTTTTTTGCAAATGAAATTTTGGCGAGGCTTGAACAGACAAACACACATACACATATGCAATGAGTAGCTGTTACATACTCATTATATTTCACTTTTCGGCTGTGTGATTAATTTTTGGCTTTGCGGTTAATTTTCGAAATTGGTGTGTGGTTGGTTGCAGCTATGCTTACGGTATATAGTGTTCGCTATTTAAGGGAAATGAAAGCATTTATTTTTTGTTGTATGTGCTAAGTATATTAGGTGTCTGCTTCTGCTCAACTTTTCACAAAGTGTTGTTAATTAGCTTATTATTGTATACTTATATATGAATCGAAAAACTAGTCAAAATTTAGGTTTTCGAAAAAATGGCAACGTCCCAAAAATAGCAGGTTTTTGTAAAAAAAATTACACTTTATAGTGTCTTAAAAACTCGAAATTACTATATCTTATTTTTTTGATTATTTTCTGACAAATATATCTAAGAAATTCATGTAAAATTTCAAGCCTGTCGGTCCTGTGATTATGAAGAAACTACTTCACCGACTCTGAAATCAGCGTTTCGGAACATACGTCTTTGTCTTTGGAGCCGATTGCACTAAGTTAAAAAACTCTTACAAATACGGTCATTTCTCCGATACCATTTGCCAGATCGACTACAAATTTTTGTAGAATATTCTAAACTCGATATATATGCAAAAAAAAATGGATTTCTTTTAAAATTTTAAATTTCTCTTAGCAGAAATTTTGTAGTAGTTTGAAGTAGAGAATTACTTCACATCGTACACCTTCTCAAGCCAATTATACAAAAAGTTGAAAAACGAAAAATTTATTTCATCGAGAAAGTTCATTTCAAATGATTTTAAAGAGAAAGTCATTCGCAAAATTTGTAATAAATACTTGGCTAGCAAGTTATCATGCCCACCTTGTTGTTGAAATCAGAAGAAAAAAATATTTAGAAACCCATCACTGGCATTCTATTTCAGTCATCCAAAGAGTATTCGCAATCAAAATCTGAAAATTTTGGGTGCCCATAGTGAACTTTTCTTCTTGGCATAAAAGTTGCAACAGCAGAATATTTTGAAAATTTTTGATATCTCCGACTCGTAACATATAAAATAAATTAGTCTTCTAAAATGTCTAAGTATATCAAAATGACTAGTGCATTAAAAATACAGATTTTTTTAGAGCTATAGCATTTCCTGAAAAGATAGCTTGTCAAAACATCTGTTCAGTAAACTTTGACAAGTGACCGAAACAACGTTTAAAAAACATACAAACCCTTCCCAAAACTTACGTTCTTTGCGACAAGCGTACGCTTTACCAACCTGCTGTTAAATACAGAGTATGAACAATCCAAAACAGACCATTTAAACTTCCTTGCATCTAGGAAAAGTACTGTCTCGTGGCAGCTAAAGGCGAATTATTCAATTTTTTTTAACCAATTATTAAGTGATTAATGGTGCCACAAAATAGTAAACAAACTATAGTAGGCGTGAAACCATCATCATATGAAGATATTGATCTCACAGGTCATTCGTTGTTGCTCAAGTATTTTTATTATCGACAGCATGCTTCCATGATTTGAGATATTTTCGTGTAGATACTAATATTTTTTACTTTCAGCAACCTTATTGTTATTATTTATTTGGTTTAAAAACCAAAATAAAAGTCCACCAAAAGCTTTACATATTCAAAATTCAGTAAGTTTGAAAGAAGTTAAATATCCCAGCAGAAGCTTTAAATTTAAATGCACTCTCTCTCATTCGTATTGTCAATTTTTTTTCCAGCACAGGAACCGAAATTGACATAACGGAAACAGAAGCGAAAAAGGAAGTTGTGAAGGCTCACTAGTGTTTCCCATAATGGCGACGCGGTTGCAACCACAGCTGTTGTTGTTGGTTGCATTTAAAATTACATTTCTGTTTACTCGCTTTGAATGGCATTTCGCGGTTGCATTTTTCTAAGTCTACTTTTTAGCGCGGAAATCAATTGCTGCAATGAATTGCGCTTGCAGTTACATCAACATTACATTCAACAACATACCGCAAGGGAGTTGGAATTTCGAACATTTAACGATATTCGAATAGGTAATATTTATAGAATGCTGAAGTCAAAGTAAAAGAGATGATTTTTGGCGAAAATAGGCACGAAACCGCTCACTGATAGTAAATTTTATACATATAAAATTTTCATAATCCATGCGAAATCCCATTATGAAATATATATTCGCTCACTAGTTGACGCAATAATATCTACTTCATGGTTTTTCTTTACAACTGACAATTCTGTGTACAATAATCTTAAAATCTTGACTCACAGTAAAGTATTCGATTGACAGTTGAATAATTTCCTCAGAGCATTTCAATGCCAATAGTCATAGGGCATATCTGTCAGCAGCATATTTTCTTGCGCGCAAACAAAGTGTATGAAATTTCTCGCTTCAATTCCCAGCGGCGCAGAATATGGCGCAAGGACAAAATGCAAATTTACTTAGTTAAGCATAGTCTGAATACCGCGGACATTTATAGTTATATACATAGATATGTACATACATAATTAAATATAGGTTTCTAGACATCTAATAGGAAGTGTTTGCCACCACTGATTTATTTTTAATTTATGCTAAATTGTTTATATAGTTATTGTATTGGTTTAAATAAATATTGAAAAATTAAAAAAAAATTTTAAATTTTAATTTTATAAAGCGCATATGCTACATGATCAGACTTGGTTTTATTTTACTGCAATAAATTTGCAAACTACAACAATACAAGTATGTCTATTTGAAATAGTATGTAACAAGCAAATTAGGTTGTATAAAATTGTACGATTTGTAAAACTGAAATATCTCTTTCGGGTTCCCGAAATTTTTGTATCATATTTGCAAATTTCCAATTTTTTTTTTGGAATTCCGAAATTTCCGAAAGTTTTGTTTGCGGGATCCCGAAAATTTTAATCGCTCTTTCGGGTTCGCTTTCAAATGTTTTTTGCGGGGTCTCGAAAACTAAACCATATATGTACATATCTACATATTCTTCAAAATCCCGAAATTTCCAAACACTTTTTTCGAGATCCCGAAAATTTGAATCTCTCTTTCGGGTTCGCGACACTTTTGTACCAAATTTCCAAATTTTTTTTCGGGATCCTGTAATCTAAAGTGATTTTCTTCGTGATCCCGAAATTCCAAATATTTTTTCGAAATTAAAATTTTTCTTTTGGGTTGGCGAAATTTTTTGGAAATCCGAAAACGAAAGAGTTTGTTTCCGGGATCTTAAAATTATGACATTTTTATGTCAATATATATTTCCTATTACAAAGTTATTTTTCTGATAGGTATAGTAATTTTTTTGTCTAAATGTTACTCATACGATGTGTTGCCTCAGCATTATGTTATATCACTTTTTGCCAGCTATTTAGAAAAAAATACTGGCTGACAAATTTATGCTTGTAATATTAAGTTATATGAATGGAGTAACCACAGCCACATGGATGGATCAGATCAAAAATCATGGGCGTGGCACTTTTAGTTGGTAATTTAGAAATCTCATAACTCTCGAACTCTTCGTTTTTTATGGGCCCAAATTGTTACATTTTCATAGCACCTTTTTTCACATTGTAAAATGGGACCACAGCCTAGCCTTCTTTCCATAGAATTTTTCTTGTACTCCAAAATTGATATATAGACTTAAACATTTATATATACTTGTATATTGAGCCTTTACTTGGTAAAATTCTTTACTAAAGTTTTGCATAGAGTCTTATCTAACCCTCGCTTACTTGTGCTTAGTATGTACACAAGATTTTGCAGAAACACCAATAAAAAAGTTGTGAACAATTGGGCCCAAACCCGTCAGCAACAAAGGCTACTCTCAGCATCTAAAAGCATATCAGCAAATCAATCTCCATATACATACATACAAAAACTGTGTTTGTGGGTAATGCAACATCAACAACAACAATACAAATATCTAAACCAACATATATTTTCACCTTTCACAAATTCACTTTCACTTGACATACTGTAACAACAGAGAGCTTTTACGTTAAACGAGAGCAGCACGAAGAGAACGCAAGCACAAAGTGGCGAGTAAAAGCTCACAAAATTTACAAACACGCCCAAAGGCTTTTCATTCTTGAATAGGCATAGAAAACAAAAGCGAAAATGCAACTCAGAGCAAGGCCAACTAAAGGGAGAGCAGCAGAGCAGCGCGTGACGTGAAAGTTTACAATGTGTCCAGCTTACACGCTTACGTAAATAAACCGTTAAATGGAGAGGTATTGAACAATAGAGTAAAGTATTACAAAATGCGCTCTATGTTGCCAATGAGAGCGCTCTTTTTGCTAAGAAAACTGTTATAAATAAATTGCGGAGAGGAGACTACGCGTTCTCTATCGCTCTCACAGAATAAAAGCTTTTGCGAATATTTTGTTTTTGTAACAGTTGTATGTTGAAATGCTTACGAAGTTGCAAATTCGTTTCGAAAGCATCGCAGCTTACGCGAAGTGCCGCTTCAAGCATGTATATATATATATATATATATATATATGTGTGTGTGTGCCTAATACAACGAATCGCGCCGATTACAAACGAAGTGTCCAATTTCAAACGAGCGAGTATTTACACGAAGCGCCATGCACAGCAACGGTTGTACTGCTGCCATGGAGCATGAATCGGATGCAAGGATGCGCCGATTTGGCAGGCTGCGTGGAGAGCGTGCGAAGCACAGCGCACGACTGTGGTATCTGCCTGTTCGCTGCTAAGGCGCTAACGAAGCAGCAGAGTTTTGCTTGAATGCATGTGGTGAAAATCAGTCATAACGAGAACGTCGTCGGGTGCTGTGTACGTTTTAGAGCAGAAGCTAGCAATCAGTGAAGCTATTCGCGCGCTGTGAAAAAAATCAAATTTACCCTACACACGCACACACATACACACGCACAACACATACACGCGCGTACATAACGCATACAACAAGCAAACACATAGCAATCAAAAGCAACAACATGAAATTCCTGTGAAATATAACGCATTATAAATATCTCTATATCTACCTATATATATATATATATATATAGTAGAAAATGTAATATAATTTGTTGGCAAGTGCAAAGGATGTGCGAAATTCCGTGAATATACATATATGTGTCGTCGTTAGAAAATATGGAAAAAAAATGTTTACAAGTGTGCAACAAAATCAAAAGGTTGGTGTTTCGGAGGTGTAGTGATGCCAGCAAATTATGAAAAGCTAAAAAAAACAGCAAAAAATTAATGCAAAAAATATGCATGTGGGCGAAAAAGTGCACGCGAGTGTAAAAAAATAGCAAAAATTTAGTTAGAACAAAAATTTAATTACAACAACTATTTGACAACTAAACGCTATGAGAAATATCGTTAGAAACTCGCAACAAAAATATAGACAAACAAAGTGAAAGCGCAGCGCAGAGAAGCAGCTCGAAGCAGCAGCTGCAAACTCAGCGGCAGCGCTAGCAATTATCGTTTTAACTTCAGCTGCAGCTACGTCAATTGCAAAACAATTTTTTCGGATTAAAGGCAGCGCAAGAAATCGCAAAGAATAAAAAAAAAAACCAAAAAACAAATGAAATCGAATTCACTTACAACTGTATGTATATGTATGTATGTATGTGTGAGTAAAAACAAGCAAAACTAAGAATAAAAAATCGAACAACAGTGAAATAACGCAGTTATAACGGGAGCGTATTGATGGATTAAAAGGTGGCAAACAAGCCAGCAAAAAGTGTAAGAGGACGAAGCAGAAAAAATTAAAGACGCGAGTGATGCTGTGGGCCAACGGGGGAAATAGCAACAGTAAAACAGCAATAGCGGGCAATCAAAAAAATAAAAGCAACAACAACAAATGCGCAGTTTAGCCAGCAAATAGAAATGCCAAAACAAAAATAAAAACAAAACGAGTAGAAAGTAAAAAGCAAAAAGGAACGAGGCGAATTTGTGGAAAATAAAACGGGCAAAACTGAGCGGAAGAAGGCAGGCGTGAAATATAACGAGAAGAAATACAGCAGTGGCACAACTCGCTGGAAATATTAGCAACAACAACAACAGCAACAAATTAATGGAAAAAAACCGAGAAAAATAGGACAAAAAAACAAGCACGGCAGCAGCAACAACTACAAAAACAACGCGAACGTGCAACGCCAGCAGCGAGCGTGGCACAGTAAATTGTAATGCGAATAAGAATTAAAGAAGAAGCAACAAAACAAAATAAAGAAGCAGCAGCAGCAAAAATACGGGCACACATGTACATGAGTGTGTTTGCGTACATGTATTAGTGTATGTATGTGTTTGGCGTGCCTGTGCAGTAACGCCTTATATGCTGCAAAGCAAAAACAACAATAACACAACAACAACAAAGGTGCTGGTCTGACAGGCAAATAGGGAGGCAGGCTCTGAGTAGGGCACGTCTCGATATAGTAACGGGGGAGACGGGGGATGGCGCACTGCATTTCGGCTAGGCGAAAAGGCAGCAAGACGAAAAATAATAATAAAAGCGAGCAAACAGCAACAAACAACAACTCAAACGCACTTAACATAAATAACACACACACACACAGAGGCGGATGCACACATGTATGTATGTGTATATGCGCGCATTTTTTAAGGAGCCATATCAAGACAAACGCTTTTTGCGTACAACGGCATATCGCTGCATGTGCGTGTGTGTGTGTGTGTACGAAATAGGAGCAGCGGCGAAAGCGGCCGCGCGCACGACAAGCAACTTATAACACACTTTTATGCCATTTGCCTACATTTAGGCGCTACCGAGCACACGCCATAAAAATCACATATATACCCACATACATATGTATATGCATATATGTGTGTGGCTTTGTGAATAATTTTGCATATGTTCGCTTGTGTGTTTTTTGCAAGTTTTGCACGCATACAAATATATAAATATATATGTGTTTGTGTGTTGTTGCCGCTTTTATTCCCGTTTGTTTAATATTCTGTGTTTTTGTTGTTGGTTTGTTGCATACAGTTAAATGCGCTGTTTTCAAAAATAAAATACCATGTAAAGAAATGTAAATGTGTGAGGTGCGAAAATAAGCGAAAGTTTTCAGGCGTGGAATATATATGTTGTTGAAGAAAATGTTGTAGAAAATCATGAAAATAATGGAAAATAACATTTGGCGCAAGGCATAAATGTCGCATGCGGTAATAAGGTTAAAGTAGCTGGCATATATTTCCAAGTCGAAATTTTAGATCAAGCGCTGGGAAGCTTGTGTAGTGTGTGTCAATAAAAGTTGTTGTGCTTAGGTTGTTTTCTTATGAAACTTTAAGTAAAAATCGGAAAAAAAATTAAGTGAATAATTTTTGAATAGAAATTTTAAAATTTTGGAGCTAAATCAATTTTAGTTTTTTGAAAATTTAAAAAAAATCTGAAAGTAAAATAGTGATTTTACAAAAATGCAAATTTAAAAAATCCGAATTGTTTTTGTCTTCAACAAAATTTAGCCAAAGTTGACCGCCTTGAGCCTTGAAAGAAGGAACTTTTAGAAAAAACGAATAAAACTAAGTACAAAAATATTGAATTAAAATTTCAAAACCATTTTTTTTTTTAAATAAAATGGCGATTTTATAAAGAAATCTTTAATTCATTAAACCTAAACTCATCTTTTTCTTTTATATTATATTTTGTTGGCGGAAAACAACCGCCTTAAACCAAGAAATTTTCCGAAATTTCGCATCAAACCTTTTCTATTTGCTTCCAAAATAAAATCTCTTAATAATTAAGGATTCATTACGAGTAAAAAAAAAATTTAAAAAGCACTTTCTTCAGAAAAATATTTTTTTTGTAATAATATTTGAAGCTGCAAATGCATAACTGAGAAAACATAAATGAAATAAATAAAAGCCTTCAATAATAATATTTTTTCTTGAATAAATATAAAGTTACGTAAAAAAACGCTCCAAAACGAAATATAATAAATTAAATATTATGCTCAAAAAATTGTATTTGAGTACTTCAGCAGCATTTGTTGCAGGCTCTTAACAAATGCGTAAACCAAAAGTAAATTTTAGGAAAAACTTTCTCTACCAAAAGTAAAAAAAAAAGATTTTTTTTTCTGAAAATAACGAAAAAATTCTTCAAAAATAATAGAATTATCATATTTTTCTCCTGAAGTTATAGCGGAGATCTTCAAAAACATTTCTCCCAAGCCTTCAACAATTTACAAAAAAAAATTTCAACAAAGAGTTTTCTAAAAAATTTTTTTTAAAAATTTCCACTACACAAATTAACAAAAAAAAATTTTTTTTATATATTTTTCTTAATTTTAATAAATATTTTTTTTATTACATATATTTTTTGCAATTTGCACTGCAAGAATTTCAAAAAAAAATATTTTTATGCATTTTTTTTTTTGTTTTAAAAAAAATTTATTTTTTCGACGAAAACAAAAATTCTTGCAAACCTATATAAAAGCAAATAAAAACTTTAAATAAAAATTATTAAAAATGTGTACTACAACAAATCAAAAAATTTATTTACCTTGCGAATTTATTTACTTAAATTAACGAAATATTATTCACAAAATGAAATGCATAAATAAAATTACAAAATTTTACGATTTCGCTTTGCGTTTCGAATAAACTCAAAAGTATATTTCCAAAAACTGTCAAACAAATTTTTGCGTCCCAAAAAACAATTACAATAATAACAACAAAAGCCTTTAGACAACAACGATAGACCCTGAAAACAACAACATCAGAAAACGAAAAGAAATCAGCAATCAACAACAAAGCCTAGCCAACTTGCTGCTCCATGCTGCTGCAACGGCAAACGGCAACCTTTGCTTCAGCTGCAATTGCACGCTGCTTCCTTCCTCGGTGGCCGAGCTGCTGCAGCAGCGTCATCAGCTACGTCATGCATACAAGGATATTATAAACGTCACAGCCTTCATGTTTTCATGTCGTGCACATGCGATTATATCTATATGCACACGCATACACGCACCCATTTGCATTTTTGCAACTCTTGCCCGCCGCTGTGTGGTGTATAAAAGGGTATGTGTGTCTGCCTGTGTATTTGTGCAATTTCGTGAATTTATCTGTGCTTGTATTGGTTATGGATGTCAATGCTGCTTTTTAGCTGTTGCTGTTGTTTTTTTTTTTTATTATGCACACACGTTGCAGCCAAGTACTACAATTTGATTAGAATTCGTTGATCGGCAAAGTTGCTGGCATGAATTTATGGATTGTTTACCGTTAGCGGACAGTTTTGCTATCCGAAAAGTTTATAAATTTAATTAAGAACTGCTTAAAGTAATAAAAAGTGAGCGAGGCTTCTGAGGACTCTACCAAAAAGTGAACAGTATTTTCTAAGGTGTGATAACGCTTTTTTGGAGTTCTTGTAGGATATTCAATCTGAACGAACTAAAAATAATATAAATTAATGATATTGGGGTGCGTGCAGAAATTTTGGAAATTATTCTGCGTATTGTGCTATTTTCATAAAAATTTGACAGCCGTTTCTAGGCAGAAAGAGATGTTTAGTCAAAAATGAAAAATAAAAAAATAAATAAATAAATAAAAGTGTAAAATATAAAAATGTAAAAGAAAATAAAAGAAATGCAATTATTTCATAAATTCTACAACAAATAAAAAATAATTAATAAATATAATTTTTAATTATAAAATAACTATTTAATTAAATAATATACAAATATCGCAAAAATTAAAATTAAATTAATTAAAGTGAAGTAATATAACTCTAAACTAAAAATTAGCATAATTAATTTATGAAAAATTAAATAAATATTTAATTAAATAATTAATTTATAAAATATATATTTATAATTTATAATTCTTAATAATTTATAAAATTACTAAAATATAACAAATTATTGGAATTTAAATCACGAGGTGCAACTGTAAGTGAAACAAATGCAGAAAACGAAAAGAAAACAAATAAATTTCGTTTGAAGCTTTTAAAGCAAATAAAATTATATTAAATAGTATGATATAATAAAAATTACAAAACTCGGACGTTACTATCAAACAATAATAGCTAAATTAATTGAAAAAGTGTGAAATAAAAAATGCTATATCTTGTGCACTACTTGTATAAATTAAACAAAAATTACTATAAATAATTTTAAAAACATAATTTTTAATTTCAATTGCAATAACTATTATGACTTTAGTTTATATAAAAATATTTAACTGAATTAAAAACATTTTTTTCTAATAAATATAATATTTTTGCGGATATTCGACCAAACAAACATAGCCCTATTTTCAACCTGTAAAGAAAATATTTTAAACAAGTTTCAACTAATTTACTTTTATTGAGCACTCTATTCTTCTGAAAAGCGGTGTAAAATATGAAATTTTGTATGAAAGCCCAAATCATTTTTCATTTTTCAGATATGCTCATAATTAAATTAAGTTAAATGAATCGAACACGATAAAAAATATCCTTCACAGGTGGTTTTAGCATTAGAGTGTATAAAAAGAAGTTTATCTTGGTATTCATCGTTCAGTTTGTATGACAGCTATTTGCTATAGTAATCCGATCTAAACATTTTCTTCGAATGTCCTAGCGTTGCTTTGGAAAATAAGCCATGTACAATTTTGTTAAGATATCTCCTCAAATGAAAATTTCTTATATACAAGTACATGATTCCGATCGTTCTGTTTGTATCGCAGCTATATGCTATAGTGATCCGATATCGGCGGTTCAGACAAATGCTCAGCTTCTTGCAAAATTTCAGATCAACATCTCAAAACCTGAGTAACTAGTTCTCGTATATACATACTCACAAACGGACACGACTAAATCAACTCAGCTCATCAAGCTGATCATTTATATACGAGTATATAGGTACTTTATAGGGTCTACGACGTTTTCCTCTGGGTGTTAAAAATTTCGTGCCACATTTAAATAGCCTATTCAAGGTATATAATAAAAATTGGTGACATGTAGATATAAAATAAGGCAAAGAAAAAATAAATATAAAGAAAATTATTGAAAATGAACAACCCATAAATTACAAACATTTCAATGGCAAGAAATTAAAAATTGGATTTGATCTTCAAAAATAATATAATTATGAAATAAAGCCGAAAGAAGAAGTTAAAATTGATGAATGAAATTAAACAAAGTAACTAATATAAATGAAATTATAATAAATTTAACTGATAACCAGAACTAATTCAAATATAACTATTTAAAATTTAGAATATCTTTTACAGCTGCATTCATAAAGAATTTATTAAATCAAAGTAATTGATTAGTAATTTAGAACTAATTGAAAACAAATCAAAAG